GCACAGGGGGCCGGCGTGGGCGGAGCTACGCGGGCGGGCTGCTCCCGGGGGCTGAGGACTGAGTAGCTACCGGGAGGCGCCGCGCGCCCACCTGGCACCCGCAGAGATGCAGGCGCTGATGCCACCGCGTCCGCGGCTCCTGCCTCGAGTCAGCGGGGCACCGGGGGCCGCGGGATCAGAGGGGCTTGGGCGTAGAGGGGCCCAGCGCTCCTCCGAAAGCCTCTCACCATCCAGCGCCGCGTGTTTAAAGGGCCCGCTTCTGCGTACCTCCAGGGCGGGGCGAGAGGGCTGGGCAGCGCGGGCCCCAGGGACCCCCACCTGCGTGCTGGCGGGCGGGGCCCGCGGTTTCTCATCAGTGGGCTTGTGCTGCTCTACCCCAGCCGAGGCTGGACCCCGGGGGGACAGGGAGGGCAGGCTGCCAAGGCCAAGCCTGCAGCCCGGGAGTAGGGTGCCCAGTCCGCACCCAGGGACGTTGGAAAAACCAGCGAAGGATGAGATTGGGGGCTCCGCACGTGCACTGCCCCATGTCTCCTCCCGCGCCCTCACGGAGCCTAGACAAGAGGTGGGAGAAGGTGCTAGCCCCCAGCCCAAGGACCTGATGTCCCCTGGGCCAAGGACCTGGATGCAGGCCAGGAGTCACTGGGGCCATGGACAGCCGAATTCACTGGAAAATTATTTTTCTCAAGGCGAACACACGTAACACACCAGCTCCCTTTCTGCCCTGGTCTAGTGACTCCTTTCATGAAAGGATCTCTGAAATGTTATCTGCATTTACACCCAAACTCACTCTCTTTGATCTTTGAAATGAAAATCAAAGATCACATTGTACCTTCACCGGGGTCTGCGGGGCTTTCAGCAGCCTCCGCCAAAAATAATAAAAGTGGCACCCGGCCAGGAAACGCCTCCTTGAAGCGTGAATGAAACTTGTATTTTTCGGTTGTATCTTTCCTAATTGACCTGATAATTTAAACTTCCTGCCTCAAAGGAGAGGGGGAGTTCCCGACGGCTAGGCTTACCTCAGGCACTAGGCAGCTAAGGCCAACTCAGGGCCCATCAGCAGGCTTGTGTAAAAGACTAACCCAACTGGGCCAGGCCATCAGAAAAGGACTGTTTTGGTCCAAATCGCTTTTTTTCCATTCAGGCCATCTAAGTATATACATAGGGTGCCCCCCAAAAATGTATATACACACTTTGAATAATTATAAAGGCAGTGTTTATTAAAATACATTTCATTTTCAAAATTGACCTATCAGCTGTTAAAGTTATATACATATTTTGGGGGGGACACCCTGTATATTTTTAATTGTGGTAAAATATACATAACATAGTATTCAACATTTTAACCGTTTGTAGATATACAGTTCAGTGGGACTAATTACATTCACATTGTGTGCAGCCCTTCACCACTATCCAGCTCCAGAACTTTCAATACCCCAAACAGAAATTCTGTCCCCATTGAACACTGACTCCTGACCACCACCCCTTTCTCTGGTCCCTGGTAACCTCTATTCTACTTTGTCTATATTAATTTGCCTATTCTAGGTACCTTGTATAAGTGCAATCACACATTGTCATTTCACTTAGAATAACTGTGTGTTTTCTAATCCTCACCCAAGGATATGTTTACTGACTTGAGAGAGAGAGAGAGAGAGAGAGAGAGAGAGAGAGAGAGAGACATCGATGTGAGAGAGAAACATTGATTGGTTGCCTCTCATATGTGCAGCAACTGGGAATTGAACCTGCAACCTACGTATGTGCCCTAACCAGGAATCCAACCCATGACCTTTCAGTGTACAGGACGATGCTCCAACCAAGTGAGCCACATGGCCCAGGGATAGAATAGTTTTAAAGGTTCATCCATGTTGTAGCACCTATCAGAATTTTGTTTAAGGCTGAATAATATTCCATTATGTGTACATACCGCATTTGTTTATCCACTTATCTGTTAATGGACACTTGGGTTGCTTCCATCTTTTGGCTACTGTGACTAATGCTGTTATGAACGTGGGTGTACAAATACCTGTTTGAGTACCTGCATTTAACTTTTTGAGGAACTGCCAAAATTTTCCACAGCAGCTGCACTATTTTACATTCCCACCAGCAATGCACAAAGTTTCTCATTTCTCCACATCCTCACAATCATTTGCTGTTTTGTGTTTTTTTTAAAGATTTTTAAAATTTATTTTTAGAAAGAGGGGAAAGGCAAGGGAGAGAGAGAAACATTGAATTGAGAGCAAAACATCAATCAGCTGCCTTCTGTGTGCCCCGGGAGCCAGCAACCCAGGCATGTGCCCTGACCAGAAATCAAACTGGCAACCTTTTGGTGCACAGGACAACACCCAACCAACTAAGCCACACCAGCCAGGACTCTTCTGCTTTTCTGATAATAGCCATCCTGATGGGTGTGAAGTGGTATCTCTTGGTTTCGATTTGCATTTCCCTGTGACTAGTGATATTCAGCATCTTTTCATGTTCTTGTTGGCCTTCGTATGTTTTCTTTGAAGAAAAGTCTATTCAAGTCTTTGCCCATTTTTAAATTGAGTTGTTTTGTTGTTGCTGATTTGTAGTTTTTTGTATATTTTGATTATTAACCTCTTATCAGATATATGATTTGCAAATATTTTTCTCATCTTGTGAGTTATCTTAGTTATCTTTTTATACTCTCTTGATAGTTTTCTTTGATGCACAAAACTTTTTAATTTTGATAAAGTAGCATTACCCATTTTTTCTTTTGTTGTTTTGGTGTCATATCTAAGAAATCATTGCCAAATCCAATATTGTGGAGATTTTCCCTTGTGTTCTTCTAAGGGTTTTATAGTTTTAACTCTTACATTTAGGTCTTTGATCTATTTTAAGGTATGTGTTTTTTAAAACTTGGTGTAAGGGAATGGTCCAACTTCATTCTTTTGTATGAGGATATACAGTTTTCCCAGTACCATTTGTAGAAAAGACTGTCCTTTTCCCATTGAATGGTCTTGGCATCCTTGTCAAAAATCAATTGACAATATATGCAAAGGTTTTTTGCTGGAATCTCTATTTTATTCCATTGGTCTCCGCGTCTACCTTTATGTCAGACATTCATGATTACTGCAACTTCATAATAAGTTTTGAAATCAGGAGGTGTGAGTCCTCCAACTTTTTTTGTTTGTTTGTTTTCCCCAGATTGTTTTAGCTACTGAGGTCCCTTGAGATGCCATATGAATTTTAGAATGAGTTTTTTTTCTTTTTAGGGGGAGGGAGGACCCACTGTTGGGTCTTTCACAGGGATTGCATTTAATCTGTGTATTACTTTATACAGTATGGATATTTTAACAATATTATCTTCCAACACACGAGTATGGGTTGACTCTCCTTTTATTTAAGACTTCTTTAATTTCTTTCAGTGATGTTCTGTAATTTTTAGTGTACAAGTAAGTCTTTGATCTTTCACTATTAAGTCTGGTGTTAACTGTCAATGTTTTTCATAGATGCCTTTTTATTAGGTTGAGGGAGTTTCCTTTGAGTCCTAGTTTGCAGAAGTTTTGTTTTTTCATAAATGGGTGTTGAATTTGGTCAAATGCTTTTACTCCATCTTTGCTATGATCACAATTTTTTTTTCATTCTGTTAATGTGACAAATTACAAGGATTGAATGTTGAATGTAAAATCACTTGCATTCCTGGGATAAACCCCACCAGGCCATAATGAATTCTTTGCATGTATTGCTAGGTTCCAGCACTCACATTTTGTTAAGGACCTTGATCTACGTACTTAAGGGATATTGGTTTGTTATTGTCTTTTCCTGTAACATCTTTGTGTGTGTTTTTGTTGTTGTAAATCCTCACCTGAGGATATTTCTT